CAGAGGAGCAGGAAAACTGACGTTTCAGGTCGGGACCCTTCTTCAGACCCTTTTTCTGAAGAAGGGTCCTGACCCGAAACGTCAGCTTTCCTCCTCCTGTGACGCTGCCTGGTCTACTGTGTTCCTGCAGCTGCACACTGTATTATCCCAGTGTCTCTGTATCCATTTTATATTATAGAGACCATTTGGAACAGTATTTCCAAGTGTGGAATCACTGAGCTTTTGTGCAAGTTTAGCCTATTTTCTCTCTTCTAAAAAAAAATCCATCCCTCTCAAAAGGAACCCAGGTGGTCTGTTGGGCTGAAGGGCCTTTTTCCATGCTGTAAAATCTCTAACTCTAGGTAGCTAAGTATTTGTGGTAGAAAAGACAAGTGGTGTGTCGTTTGCTGAACTTGTTTCCCTTTCAAAATATAACAATCAGTGTGTTAGCTACCTGCCAGTCCTTTGACTCAGTTCTCATTAATGATGATTTTTTTTTTTCTGTACATGTATTGGGGCCCTTTTATCTCTTCCTTGGTATTATTTAACATGAATTGCTATTATCTTTCCAGACTGGGGCTTTATCCTCTCATTTTGATTGTTTTATGAAACTAACTGCCCCATCGTAGGCCAAAGGGCCCATTCCTGTGCTGAACAGTTCTGTGTTATTTCTGTCACCCTACCCTGGTGAACATGGTATGAACACCCGACCCGGGTAAGAATTAGGATCTAGGCAAGAATTTTGTTAGTTTTCTAATATAATTGTGCTGAGTAAGGAAAATGTAGTGATCAGCAAGTACAGCAGGTGCAATAATCGAAAGATGACAAAAACATGGATTAAGATTTTTTATAATCAGCCTGTTCAAGAATATTTTTAACAAATTTCTGGAGCACGTGGGACTTGGACACAAACCTCCTAGGTCAGAGGTAAGGACACTATCACCAGGCCACAATAAGCTGAGAAAATGTCAAACAGTTCATGAGTTAAATGCTCAATAATATGAAGAGTTAATTGCTTGATGCCTAATAGTATAGTACACTCAGAGATAGTAGGAACTGCAGATGCTGGAGAATCCAAGACAACAAGGTGCAGAGCTAGATGAACACAGCAGGCCAAGCAGAAAAGTTTTCTGATGAAGGGTCTAGGCCCGAAACGTCAGTCTTCCTGCTCCTATGATGCTGCTTGGCCTGCTGTGTTCATCCAGCCCTGCACCTTGCTGTCTAGTATAGTACACTGTTGTTCTTAACATATAGAGGACAAGTTCAGATTTGAATTTTGTACTTGCTGGCTTCTATAGTCAGAGGGATGACCGAAAAATAAGCTCTCTACCAGTGAAGGAGAGGCATGTTTGGAGAATGTGTTATTCTTAGCATTAGGTATCTGCATGGCATGAATAACTGGTAATGATCTGGGAAGATGTTGTTACATGCTCTCGATCCAGAAGTGCTGTGTGATGTTGAGGAGGGGAAAAAAAAGGAGAAAGCTGGTTCAGTTTGTTACAAAATAGACCAAAATAGCCCACGGTTTTGGACTAAATTCAGTCAGGGCAGTCTTTTAGATGTTATAGCTGATCTTCTCCAAACCTCTTCAGTATATGTTGGCTCATGCTAAGAAATGCAAGGTGAGGGCAGGATCAGGCTCTAGTATGAAGCTCGCAGGTGCACATGTGAAGGATGGCTGGTTTGGGAAGTAAGAGTGAATGCAACACCTGTTAATCATAGTCTGATAGCATTTCATGAGGGGAGAAAATTGGGGGCAACAAGAGAGAAAATAGTTTTCTTGGTTAAAAATGCCAATTGTTTTTTTAAAAGAAGATTCAGAATTACAGACAGATTTGACCTTCTAACCCCACCGCCTGCCCATAATTACAGGTTGTTATAATCCCAAACATTCTTCAAGTGCATAATTGTACCTAATTTGCATAATATGTTTTCTTGTGTTTCTTTGCGGGTGATAATCCCTGCATTTTAAACTGTTCCATTTTTAATTCTGACAAATTTCTTGGCAACTTGACAGTTGTGTTTAATTTTGCACAGCTGTAAATGTTTTTTCAAGGTACTTTACAAAATCAAAAAAGGGTTGAGAAAGGATAAAATAACTGCAAGAAAATAGCTTGGAGAAATGACTTTTTTTTTGTGTTGTAGGCATTCTTTGTGAAGGACTACATTCTCAACCACCCTGAGGATGGAGAGAAAATCTCTCGACTGAGGGAACTAATGTTTGAACAGGTAATGTTTATGCAGATCCCCAAAGTGCAAAAGACTCTTTAGCACCAGATAAGAGATTTGTATTATATCCAAAGGATAATGCAAGTGACCTATATGTTGGCAAGAAACAAATCACGAGGTAGATGAGGGAAGTTATTAAACCAACGTCTCTCATACTTCAAAATGAAATCCTGCATTTATTTCCATGACCCTCATCAATGAAGATAAGGCCTTTTCCTTCTTATGTACCTGGAAGATCACTCTAAACATTAAACACTGCATGTGTGAAGATCTTTTTCTTGATATCTGTTACAAGTTATCCTTTTACCCATGCACTTGGTCTAGTATCTGAGAGTACTTTAAAGTAGTACTGTACCTTTACCTTGTGCCTATTTAATAAATTTTATAAGCCTTTCATAACAGTTGAGATAACAGATCATTGGTTTCTCTATTGCTTACCCTGTGTGTTAAATGGTTATAAGGTCTTAGACCATCCTTCCCAACCATTTGCTGAGAAACAGAAAAACACAAGAAGCATGTGTTGTCCAATTTCGGGGAAGTGGAAGGTGGTGGAAATATAAAGTGCCTCCCTGATGAAATCTCACAAACAGTGAGAGACCTATGATTCATCTCCTAGCATAATTATTTACAAAGTGTTTGTTGACACCCGCAATCCATTGATAATTATGACTGCGCATGCTCACCTCTGATCTTTCTCATCTTGTGCATGGGCAATAAAACAAATCTGAGTTTTAGAAGATTCATTTTGTTTGACTCTACCCCACCCTTCTTATTGTGGCGTAATGATATGCATGTAAATCATGATCTATCTAATGACATGACACTGATGTCAGTGTGACAGAAGATGGTAATCGAGAATGAGCGTGTGAAGAGAGAGGTCTTTGACACTATCGAGCTATATTTGGAAATCTATTATGTACAGATGGATGGTCTGTGTTTTCAGCTTCTGCAGCAATACCTGAATCCATGGATGGATTTTATAGAGGGCAGATCACCTGAACCTCCAGTCTAAAAGACAGTTGGCACTCTGTCAACTTGCAATCTGGATGTCCCGCATCAATAATACCCTGTGGGTGGCATAAATTGGATCGAAAGTCCTACCCTAGAGAAATGCCAGTCCATGAGATTGGCTGGCATCTCTGTATTCCTAAACATGCCAGAAAAGAGTTGTGACCACTGCTGGGATTACAAGCAGTCCTGTGGAAGGAGTGAAGATGGATACCAGACCTGAATAAGAGCTGAGATTTTGACGCAGCTAGTGAGAGGGTTAAAAACCCTGACTGTGGGAGTGAGGGGTGTAGGGGAGAATAGGAATAAAGATGGGTCTATCTTGTGGATGACACAGAGGTGTCCCAAAAGGAATTACCTTTGAACAGTCAGTGCAATTAAAACTACCGGATTGATCACCAGGTCCCACCTTTCCCTGTGAATCACAAAATTGCAGCAGAGACAGAGTGGACAATTAGCTGCCACGTAAGAGCATCATTAAGCCAAAGGGAAGTTGGGCTGTGTGACACCTTATTTATCCCTGTAATATTTGGAGGAGGGGTGTGGGAATGACAGGGCTTCTATGGGATGATGGTTTGCTAACAGCCCACTGAATTTTATGTGCCCCCACCTTCCCTGCATACATGTGCTGGTTTGGTCGCGGGGAGTAGTGAGTAAACATATCCATGATGTTTCATGGTACTTCAAAAAATTACAAGCTTAACGTTGCAGCCATTTTTATATTCCCTATCTCGGGTTGGTCTGGGGAAGAAAAAACTACAGCCTTCCAACTGTGAGCATCAAGTAACCAGAAAGTACATGTGCCAGAAGGGTGGGAACATAGGAATTAGGAGCGCGAGTAGGCAATTCGATCTGTCAAGGGTCTCCAATTAGTCCAAGACCCAGTTAATTCAGATCAAAGTATTTGAAAGTCTTTATAGGAACCGAGCTGGTGCAATTCTCGAATAAGATCAGAAGAGGAGGGGAGAAGTTGGGAATTGCCAACATTTAGTTTCTGGCAGAGGTACATTTTAACAGACCACATATATCTACCTTCCAAAAAACTGGAATTGTTGGCCCTCTGGGAGTTCAGGCAGAGATTCATAAAGTCTGGACTCTTACAGAGAGTCACTTGTTAATTTCTATCCCATTGCATCCTGCTGAGATTAATTGTGCAGATGTGAAATATTAGTGCGCAAAGCAGAGAACCTCTCCCAACCCTTAACAGGATTTGAATGTCAATTAATCAATTGGAAAACACGGGTGATTTACTGGAGATAGTAAATAGATGTAAAAGATACAGATGATTTGTTGACACGGAGAAAAAAAATGTTCGGTTGTGTGTAAGAGCGGTTCCAAGTATAAAGAAAACCCTCTCCCATGCAGCCAAGGAAAGTTACCACAGGGTCAGTGACAGCTACTTTCGTGAACAGTTCAGTTTTACAGCCCCCCCACACTTCTCATAAATGCAAAAGAAGCTGCAACTGCACAGTTTTCCACTGATGGAGACAACCCCTATGCCTAACTAAATTTATTTTCCAAAAGAAACAAAAACACAGAATAACACAAATATATGTGCAACAAATATTTGCAGTTGTACAGTGCTTTCAGAGTAAAATATTATGGATTGCAGCAGTTCAATAAAGTAGCTCAGCACCACCTTCTCAGAGGCAAGAAATGCTGGCCCAGCCAGTAGTGCCCATGTCCTATAAGTGAACAAAACAAAGTTCATGAAAGGAGGAACATTAACAACAAGCAAATGGCTTGATCTTCTAAACTGTACTCTGCTCAATACAGCAATGAATTGTTCTAATCAATAATATTATCTTGTAAGTCCCAGCACTCAGTTTCAGTTTCTTGATGGACATGAGAAAAATGCACATTGGGTTTAAATACTTTCACTGACTGACCCATTTGCAATTTGAATAAATGCACTGTTCAGGGAAAGCCTTTGTCAGTTGGTTCTTTACATCAGTTATCAACAGAGCAAGATAAATTCATGTAGGACCGTGTACTCACTTCAATTCAATTCTCGGTGTCAAAATTACTTGTTTTTCTTGAGGGCTACTTTTTGGTTTCCAGGGGCTTTTTCATTTTCACAGTTTTAAAATGATGCAGTCAAGTAGTAAAAATATCTTTTGCATTTGTGTAGCCATGAGAGGTATCTGGACTCTCAGCAGAATTAGAAAAATTCATTGATATGCTCAATAATCCTCAACCCTCCATTAAACTTAAAGGCACAGTATACAAGGAAAGCATTAATTTTGAAGACACAAGACAACAAGCATAATTTGGCAACAAATATTTTGTTAAAAAAATCTGATTTGCACTTCTGCACACAAAAAGCCAATACCAATAAAATATTTTCTGTAGACTACTCAGGTCACAGCTAAACAGTTACTTGATTTTCTCCTAGGCAGTCACTACATCTCAAGTATTTTATACTATTAAAAATGTGATAAAACTGAAATGCAAATCTTTATGAAATAAAAGTTTTTCAGTATTAAATTATCCATTTGACTGTATACATTACAATAGCATCCATTACACTTCCCCCTATATAGCAACTCTTGAACAACTGCAGTTGGAATTAAGTTAGAGAATCCACATCTATTGGCAAACAATTAATTACTCATTGATGAAAGACAGTTGGTGAAAGACCTAAAACTGCTCTTTCCCCTTTGCAGCTCCTCTCTCCCTATTCTTGATCCAAATTCCCACCCTTTTTCCACCAGTCTTTGTAGACTCTCTTTCACACACCCCCATCATTTGCAGTTGATCTTCCCATACTTTGCACACTTCCCCACTCTTGTCCACTTTTCCAAACCCTCTTGACCACCCACCCTTCTCAGCCTCTTACACAACACACTCTCAACGTTTGCAGGATCTCTTTCTCACCTCCCCGCAGCAGGGCTTCTTTCCGTCCACTCCCATCCTGCACCACCACCCCCCCCCCCCCCCCCCCCCCCCCCCGACTTTACAGAGCTTCTTTCCCTCTTTACAGACCGTCTTTGCAGATAGCAGCTCATCCTCCTTGCAAATGTCCTCCATGCCACCTATGAAGACCCCATTTGTTGCCCTGCACTTTGTAGACCCTGACTCCTCCCTAACCCCACTCCACAGCCTCTCTTTCTCCCTGTCTTTCCCCTTTATGACCTAACACATTTACCTTCCCTCCCCCTCCAGCCAACCTGCAACCTTGTAAACTTCACTTATGTTTCCTTCAATTCCCCCAAGTCAACCTTGACCTCCCGTCTCAGCTGCCCTGCTCCCTCTGCTCCAGCAGTCTTGCTGACTGCTACCACTCATCTTCTCGCTGCTTTACAAATCATAGGCTGTTCTTTCTTTCGCGTTTTAGTCCTGATAGGGTCACAATGAATTTGTTTCTGAAAGTCCTCAAAGTGTCTGGGGTATTTCCACCATGGTGATGACCACAAGTGTTGCTAATGATAGATTTCTGTTAGTGTCTCTCCATTGAGGGAGACAGTCATAAAATTTCTTGCATTACTTTCACTTGAGAGGTGCCTGACATTATATTTCGGTATGCTGTGAGATGAAACAGCAAATTAAATTAATGAAGATTTCTGCAATGATAATGTGCACTGGAAAAATTCAGTAAAGGCATCTAGTCATGGGATATAGTAAACAAAAAATACACCTTTCGTCTTCCCACTTTTTTTAGAGTTCTCTTCAGTGTCTCACTTTCATGCCTGAAACTATCAGCATAAGTCAGGAAATAGAAAAGACATGTAAGAAAGACACCATAAGAATAATCATCGAGGATTTCAATATGCAGGTGGATTGGGAAAATCAGGTTGGCAGCAGATCCCAAAAAAGGAATTTGTGGAATGTCTGTTGTGGGTTTTTTGTTGGATCAGCTTATGGTAGACCCCACGAGGGAATAGGCAATTCTAGATTTGGTGACATGAAATGATGCAGACTTGTTAGGGAGCTTAAGGTGAAGGAACCCCTTGGAGAAATGCTCAGAATGTGGTAGAATTCAACTGGCAGTTTGAAAGGGAGAAGCTGGAATCGGATGTAATGGATAAAGGGAGCTACAAAGACATAAGAGAGGATCTGACCAGAGTTGATTGGAGTGGGAACCTAGCAGGGAAAGCAGTGGAGCAGCAATGGTGGGAGTTTCCAGAGGTAATTTGGGAGGCACGGCAGAAATTCATCCCAGGAAAAAGAAACGTCCTTAGGGGAGAACGAGGCAACAAAGGCTGACAAGGGAAATCAGAGACAGCAGAAGAAAAAGCAAACAATGTGGTGAAGATTAGTGGGAAGCCAGAAGATTTGAAAGCCTTTAAAAACCAGCAGAGGACAACTAAAAAAGCAATAAAAGGGGAGAAGACGAAGTATGAGAATTAGCTAACTAGAAGTATAAAAGAAGATTGCAAGATTTTGTTTTTAAATATAGAAAAGGTAAGAGAGAGGCAAAAGTGGACTTTGGACTGCTGGAGAAGTAGCAATGAGGAACAAAGAAATGGTGGAGGAACTGAATACGTATTTTGCATCAGTCTTCATGGTGGAAGACACCAGTAGCATACCAGAACGTCAAGAGATTCAGGGGCAGAAATGAGTGTTCTGGCCATCACTAAGGTGCTGAGGAAGCTGAAGGATCTGAAGGCAGATAAATCACCTGACCTTCTGTTCCGATCGCAAAGCCTGAGGACACAGTCTCAGAATGAAAGGACGACCCTTTAGAATTGAGATGAGAGAACTTTCTTCAACCAGATGGCGGTGAATCTGTGGAACTCATTGCCACAAAGGGCTGTGGAGGCCAAGTCATTAAGTATTTAAGACAGAGATAGATAAGTTCTCGATTAGTAAGGGAATCAAAGGTTACAGAGAGAAGGCAGGAGAATGGAGTTAAGAAACACAATCGAATGGTGGAATAGACTCGATAGGCCAAATGGCCTAATTCTGCTCCTGTAGTTTATAGTTTAGTAGTATAAACATTTTATAGGAGCAAGTTTGCAAAAATAATGAAAGGTGTGAAAAATATCGTGGCTCCAAATTAAAACTGTAGGTTGCTGCTGTTGACCGCACAATACTTGCCTTGTCCCATTCCCTCCTGCTGGCCCATCTTGCTGTGCTGCTCACAACCAGGGAGGCTTCTGGAGCTGCAACTAGTGTTTACTTGCCCTTGTTAACTAATGATGCTGATGATCAATTAGCGATGACCCAATTCAGGCATGGTTTAATTTCTAGGCCAATAAATTCTCAGATGCATTAGAAAGGAAGAAGCAAAGTTTTGCAAAGGTAACTTGAAAAGAAATAGATGATATTAAGTTCAAGAAATTTTGATCATTGTAATTCTTAAAATTGAGTTAGTTACACACGTGTTTTTTTTTAAAAGGCCCATATTCTGGAGTATGGTTTGGCTGTGCATGAGAAGTTTGTACCGCAAGACATGAGACCATTACACAAGAAGCTGGTGGATCAGTTCTTTGTGATGAAGTCCAGGTTGGGGATACAGGTATGAACTCTCACAGCAAGAAGCTGCTCAAGTGAATGCCATCATCAATGCTTCCATATCTGATGAACTATGTGCCTTTTGAATGTTATGGTTGATAGCAGTAGAGAGTTAAACAGTGAAATTTTGATTAACCCTTGTGCATCAATGTTTGAACGACATAAAGGCTCAAGATTTGGAGTAGAAAATACCTGCAATTTACAGAGATTGCTTATTGATTTGTCACAAAGGCAATAATATCTGTAATATTGTAAATAATGAAATTGTATTTAATTTGTTATGCACCACTTTTAGGCAATAAGCAGATTTCTTCCCTTTGTTTATTCCTGTGGTGTCTCTTTTGTATAATTTCTAGTGTAGAAATAAGTGAGAATGCACTTAAAGACCATAAATTGTTGATGAAAAATTATATCACTTTGTTTCTTTAGTTAATTTTTATTTTTGTTATTCTTATTTCATCTGCTTCACTTGACCTCTCTAAATTTTCTTCTATGATCATTTGATCTTCTGTGACGCTATAAATTTACAAGGAATGAAGTAATTTGATTGAAATGCAGAATCAAATTTGGCATAATTTGATTTGCATGCAATATTGCAATATCCTGCTACAATTCAGCAGAATATATTTTTCATATTATGAAGTTCTCTTTATGATGTCTCTCAGTCTCTCCTTCCTTTCATGTTAAATTTAAGGTTACTAGCTTATGATTCACAATTCTATCCAAAGCTGGCCTTTAACAGTCAATTTTCAGTTATTGATTTTTATATCCCCCCTTCCAAATAGGTGGTAGAGTCTGAGGAAGGCACAAAACAGAGTAATTCTGGCCTTTTTAAAAAGAATAAAGCTTGTAATAACTGAAGGTTGCATAACTAGCTCTATATTAGATCAAAGTCAAATCAAAGTTAAAATTAAAGGAGAAAGGTGACCAAGTTATGCGAAAATGAAAGCCAAACCTAAGGTAGTTAAACTGAGAGGCACGATTTCTTCAGAAATTTCAGGAGGTGTTGTGGGACGTTGAATGAGTGGATGTTTTGTGCATGCTGTACAGCCTCATTTGCCTGCAATTCCTTCCAAGATGGATAGAAATCTCTGATGATAACCTATTACATGCTACCTGGAGTGGGATAATGTGGTATTCAGAATTTCTGGCCCATTATAAATCAGCACGGTGGTAAATGAGAACATAAAGAACAACAATGAAAGAAAGCAATTTTTTCAAAAACTAATATAACTGACTAATCTTGTTTCTTTGAACATAGCTTGGAATTCAGGATAGCTTCTTCCTATCTTGTTTTATGCAACCATGATTAACATTAATTGTAATTAATCTTGAAATCATGCAAAGTGAGACGAATGCTGATATCAAATCGCTATGGCCTCATTGACACAAACATACCAATTTTTAGAAAGAAAGCAGCAGAATGTGGGCATAGAAGTTGGCTGAGATCCAGTATATCAGATCTGTACTGACTACAACACACAATTTCAGCATAATGCAACCAAAAATTTAGATTGCTATGTCCATAGTGAGCAGCAAGAGCAAGGAAGGTCTGGAATGGTGTTTTGATTACCCTTTTTAAAGGTTCTGGGAAAGCATCATCATCCAATTATGTCTTCTATCTGGGAATTCAGAATGACCTATCTGAAGAATAATATTTATATTTTCTCGTTGTCTGCAAATTACAGTCCATTTCTACATTAGTCAAAATTGCCTCCCTGACTCCCTCTGGGAACGATATTATAATTATCGATCTGAATCATCAAGGTTCTTGTTTCATCTCAAACCTGATCCCAAGTCTAGACTGTACATTTTTGAAACTTTAATTTAAAGTTACAATTTCAATTATACATTTAATTTTGCAGCATCTTTGGCTAATGGCTGTAGTTTCATAGGAATAGTCAACCCAGGGTTTCCTTGTTGCTTGGCAAACGATGAAAAGTACTTTAAAATTAAGACTTGACTGTCTGATTTAATGTGTTTACCATGCTGACTATTTCCTTTGAAAGTCTCCAATTTGCAAATTGCTTTTGGTATACCTCAAATCTTCCAGTTCAAATGCTCTGAATGTCAAATAAAACAAAACACCTGTTAGAAATACAGTCTGTTGGTTGATGTGGTATCAATTATACTTCACTTCTTTCTCACAAGACACTTCATCTTTGAACATCTGAAACTTATTAAAAGATAGTAAAAGCATTGATTAGCTTGTGATTTTTAGCAAACTAATTATATTTCATATAGTACTTGGATTTAACAATACTGTGCCACTGATATTTGTCGGTAATTATTGAATCTAAAATGCAGCTTAGTTTATTAGGCTGTGCAACCTTAAATTCTAGTTTCTGTTTTTAAATGGTGTAGTGTGGCTCTGATGTAGAATGGTGAAACTTGGAGAATAAATCAGATACTATGGAATTCTGTATACACAGATACTGGATTGGTTTACATTGATCATGTACAAAAGAGGGCCAACTTACTGTGTGATTGCTCAAGCAGGATGTCATGCATTAGTTTTCCACAAACCTTGTCTGAAATACCAACTTTGAAATGATTGAAAGGTTTTGTTCTCAGATATGTTGCTCAGAAATGCTTCTACAAACTTCCTTTCACCAGTTTAAGACTAGAAAATCTTTATCTTTCTATGATTCTCAACTTAGAAGGCAAGCAACTTTACAGTACCCTTGCACCATAACCCACCTTTTTTTTATTCACTCATGGGATGTGGGCATTGCTGCCTGTCCCTACTTCCCGAGAAGGTGATGGTGAGCTGCCTTCTTGAACCTCTGCAGTCCACATGCTGTAAGTCAATCCACAATGCCCTTTGGGAGGGAATCTCAGGATTTTCACCCAGCAACAATGGAGGATATATTTCCGTGTCAGGATGGTGAGTGACTTGGAGGGGAACTTGCAGGCAGTGAGATTCCCATACATATGCTGCCTTTGTCGTTCTAGGTGGAAGTGCTCATGGGTTTGGAAAGGTGCTGTCTGAGGATCTTGGTGAATTTCTGCAGTGCTGTTGCCTGACTAGTCTGTGAGACAGCTGTCCCAATTTTGGCACTAACCCCTCAATGTTAGTGAGAAGGATTTAGCAGGGTCAACAGGGCTATTTCTGCCGTTGTCTTTTCTCTGTCACCACTTGCAAATTAACTTGGCAACTTTCTTTATTGATTTGTGGGATTGGCCATTACCGGCAAGACCTCCATTTATTAGTAAACACTACTTGCCCTTGAAAGGATGGTGGTAAGTTGCTTTATTTGACTACTGCAGTCCATATGGTGAAAACACTCCTTGAGTGCTGTCATGACTTTTGGCATCCTCTTAAACAAGAGAAAAGAACAGATTTGCTGATGAACATTGGGTTCCAAGTCCCAAACAAAGTTCAAGTTGTTGCTGAGACTCACAAACTAAGTTCATAAATGAGTCAACCTGCCGTTTTTATTCTGGCTTCTGTTTATCTAATTTTTAAAAAAAATTGATCAAATGTGCCTGTTCACCTGAAATCCGGTATACTTCGAATGGCAGACGTGCCTCTTAAGGGGAAATTGCAGATTGGAGGGATTGCTTGTGGTTATGTGGCTGAAAGCTATAGAGTTGTTGGTCTTGACTATTGCCTGGAAAACCCGTGTGACTGGTGCCCTCAATGAGTAACCAGTATTGTTCTATCTTCCAAGCTACAGTCATGAAGAAAAGCCTTGTAGGAGCATCAGAATGGATAAATGAGTATACAAGACAAGTACTCATTGGTTACAAAATGATGATTTGTAATTATTCCTGTTAAACCTTAAACAGATGGATTAGAATTGTTGGATTTGCGATTGGTGTCAATTTTCTAATGAAGTGAGAGCAAGAGCCATAAGGCTGGAATGAAAGAATGCAATTGGATAGTGGTAGTAAGGGTGACAGTGATGAGAATCACAGGACTGTTGGTGCATTGGGCTGGGAACGATGCCCCATGATTAATGCAGATGAATGAGCTGCTCTGTAATTGCTGTAGGTACACAGAGCACCAGTGGTCAGAGCTGCTCCCATTGTTTGTGACATCTGATTTCTTGCTATTCAGTGAAAGGGAGGTTTAAGAAGTGCTCTTTGCCCTCCTGCATTTTCACCTGAGATATATATCTGCTGGTGTGTTGCATGGATCATTTGCAACAATTAGTTGCATGTGTGAATATCACTTTCTCCAGCATGCATGAGCCTAAAATTAGATTGCTCAGTGCTGGTTTTTCAAGCAAAAAATGTTTCAAGCAATATTTTGTGTGGCACACAGGCTTTTTGTATTGTTGGAACTGGGCTGTATCTCATGTGAGTTAAATTGTAAGGCTCAATAGTTATGTGGCCCATTGCCTGTATAAATCAGGGACTTAATAATGGTTTCAAGCAAATTTATCAAATTGAACCACTTGTACCACAGAGGTCAAATGTTATGACTGCCTGAGTGTGGAGCCAGGAGAAGTGAAAGCACTCCACCTGGTGTTGCACGTTTAAATTACAGACTGCCCCTGCTGTTACAAACTCTCGCTCATCCTGCTTGCATGTCCAAAGTGTGCCACATCTTCAGCTATGTCGTGGACAGCTAATCTCATCTTCTGTCATACCCCACCTTTTGATGCATCCAGATAGTGCCTAGATTTTGCATGCAGTCCAATTTGTCAACTATGCTTTATTGTGACCATGAAGCATTCTAGAAGACTGCTGAAGTGTATCAGTAGAAATGGGCAGCAGTGGACTATTCGTATCCTTGAATCTATTCTTCCAATCAGTTAAGTCGTGGGTGATCTGTATCTTGATTGCATTTGTCTGCCTTTTGATCTGTACCACTTGATCTCCTTAAGTGATAAATAAAAATCCGATTTTCAAATTTGAAAATAACAGTGACATGCATCCACAGTTATTTTGAGAAAATAATTCCAGAATTTAACTGCACTTTGTTTAAAAAGAATACTGTTATTTGATCCCTGAATAGCAGGTCTCTAATTTTAAGATTGCATCCCCTTTTTCTGG